GTGGTGGTGGTGGAGTGTTTGTAGCTGGGATTCACACAATAGACAGACCTTTGATTCTCATTCAACGGGAACTTTTTTTGGCCGCATTCATTAATGTTTAACAATAATGGGTATTATCGATCACGTCAGGTACAGTTTTCGATGACACGGTTCGGCTAAGTAACGGGCTGTCTTACAAGGGGTGACGGTATCACTAATCGGGAGAACGGTTACATCCATTCGGACTTTCTTATTTGCACCTCTTACATGCACTTGTATTTTGCCTTCTTTCCACTAGGTGAAGTGATTGATCTTCTTCTGGAATTGCTACAGTTATCCGCTGAACAGTTAAATGAGGCATCATACTCACCCATTCTCGGTCTATATCATACGGCTGTGGATGACAGTCTGGTAGGTTTGTTTTCTGTCAGCACGTAAGGTCAAAACACAGTTGTGCTGGTTGGTGTAGTTTGCATTACTTAATACAATGAAGAGATTTTTAACATTTTTTTAGTAAATTTTCCAACACGTTTGATGTTTTCTCTACGCTGATCACTTTATCGACAACAAAAAAATCTGGTCTCTCAAAGAGGAGCAATTTAAGTTGCCGCGGTCATCTGAATATTGTTTGATTCTAACCAACCCATGGTGACTGTGCAATTTGTTTTTTGTAGACGATAATAAAGTGAATTGTCATTCAACTCGTCACTTAGATCTCAGGAATGGATAAACCTTTTAGGTCCTTGTGCTTCCTGGAAATTTGAGTATTTCATACCTCCCGCGGTATATAAATATATTCAAGGGCTGAGATTCCGGATACGCAGTATTCGAATACGAGGTGCAGATGGTCGGGCGAGGTAAAAGGGGAACTGTAATCTCGCAATGTGAATCTGTTGTTCAGTGAATGCAACCCTCACAGAACCAAATATCAACACAGTCGAGAGCAAAGCTCACAAGTCATTGATAGGGGTCGTTATATACTCGGACTGTATGGTTGAAACTCAGTCGATTTCACGGTAGAGGACGATGATTTTATACGATTACAAATGTGTTTTAAAGCAGCAGAGTTTTGCGAGCCACCTTTGATGACGATGAGGCTTCAAAAAACACTGAATTTGATAAGTCTTCGTTCCGCCAGAAACGTTTTGCTCAGTCCTCGTATATTCATGTGCAGTTATGTATGTGCTTGTTCGAAAATAGAAAAGTGTTGCAAAGATCGGTACGGAAATGCTGTTGCATTGACCGTATCGCAGTGGAACTTACCAGAGCCTAGGCTTCAAAAACTCTGGTGGTCGTTGAATTACCGTGCGAAGATAGTAACGACACATGTTCATTGCAAGATATTACTTGACCATTAGACAATAAAAATGAATTGATTAATTCTCTATGATCTCGCCAACTGATTTGATCTTCACGCACTCACACACTCACTCACACACACACACACCATCTTCCGAGCATTTGATCAACGGTACACATGTGTAGCTCTCAGTTCAATTTTCTCTTTCATTTGGTGAAAGTTCAACTGCCTGATATGGACTTTGAACTTCGGACACGGCTTCACTTGAAGGGTCTGCGTGCTACACAGTGTGTTAACCAGTTCAGATAAGCTGACAAATGCAACTACCGGATCAAGTGTGTTTGTGTGTGCGTATTTGCGCGCAGATGTTTCTGTCTTCAGACGCGAATCAGGCAGTAGCTAACTCAATAGAAACGATCGGTGACACGATTTACACATTGTTAATTTCAATCCAAAGCCTTCCGTGAAACTTTGGGTGAACGTCCACACAGATAGTTTTTGTGCTTTAGGGTCCTGGTGGTTAAATGTGATCCCAGCTTACGGGATGACGCAAACCTCGGGGTGACAGGTTACAGTTTCCGGACAACTGTGATGATTCAATCTTCTTAGATGACGCCAGTAAAATGCCTACGCATCACAGCTTCTGAACAATGAACCATAGACTGATTGTTCCGACCAATCAGAAGCCGTGCGGCTCAGGCAGAAGCTGTACGACGCCAACTATATAAACACGCAATTGTTAGATGCCTGGTCAACCAATGAACTTCTGTACATGTTGTTAACCCCTTTAATTTCTTCCAATAAACGAAGCACCACTCCGGTGGTCTTTTCCTTGCGTCTCGATTACGTGGGATACTGTCGTGCTAGTGTCAGTGTGATTCAGTGCTTCCGTGGTGTCTGGGATTTGTAACACGTGATTCGTAATCCGTGATCTGTGCGTACTTCAATCATTATAGATAGATAAGCAAAAATTGCTAAATACCCTCTTTTCGGGCGGCATTCAACCCCCTACCATTGAACTCTTGGTCGACTATTTCTCTAATCGTCAGCAATTCATACGCTACGCAAAATGTACCATTCTGTCCCTACCACAAGGCTTATTGCTTGGCCCTATTTTATCCACTGTTCTTTTTTCCGCCGACATACTGTATGCCTGTGATCAATTCTTCTCTTCTTTATAAATATGCTGACGACAGAATATTTAGACTGCCCTACTCTAATCCATCATCTCATACATGATATGACAGGAATAGTGGAGTGGTCTCGACAGATGAATTTCCACCCAAAATAGATCATGACAACAGTCTGTCAGATAACTTGGTGTTACTTTCAACCGTAGCGTCGGACCACATCATGTTTATGTGCTACGTCTTAGATCACTTTCTATCCCCATTCATCTAATAACAAGTTTTGGTTCTGCTTATGTTTTATCCCACTGGTTTTTATGGGTCCCCTGTTATCTTTCCTGGACCTCTTCACAATGAACTCAGACTTCACTTCCGGAACCCTAAAGTTTCTGTAGTCATGCATCCCAAGACCATGAGGCACATCTGGACCCTATGGTCCGAGCCCCGCCACCGCCACCCGTCTTTGATGGCAGGCAGCTCGGCTGTCGTCCGGTTCAATACCACGCCTAACCTATCGGGGCCTTATGTGGTTTGCCCCACTCCAAGTCGCGGGGTTTAGGTTGCCGGTTTCCATCTCTGAACAGCAGGTTCTCGTGACTATGGGGTTCACCCCATCTGCTGTTCACNGCCTTATGTGGTTTGCCCCACTCCAAGTCGCGGGGTTTAGGTTGCCGGTTTCCATCTCTGAACAGCAGGTTCTCGTGACTATGGGGTTTACCACGTTTTCTTTTCATCACACTTCGGTGTGTAATAAAAAAATATGGTGGTACACTACCTCAAGGCTCGTAAAATATTCTCCCAGAAGATTTTATTTGGTCGGTCCATCCTTCTAGTCAGTGCATTTCTTATTAATCTACCTGTTCCATTTTGTAAACTTATAACGGCACGCACTGAGGTTTACAAGTGCTATATTGTCTTGCATCTCGGCAGATTTCTCACAAACCAAAAAAGCGTTTGTAGTAATTGAAGTAAGCACCAATCACGAATTACGAATCACGAATCACAAATCCCGGCAACACCGAATCGCACCAGCACTTGCACGCTGGTATATCACGTAACCGAGGAAAGCCAGTATGTGTTTTATATTTCACACGTCTGAAAACAGAGTGTGCCAAGCAAATCGTGGTACAGTAATTATTATTAAAAAGAACGACGTTCCATGAATTGCATGTGGGTGGAATACTGCCAGGTTGCCCAGGTAAAGGCAGGTGAATTTTCTTAAGGAATCCATAACAGGAGCTTTCGGTTGGCCAAAGCCTGATCCGCGAGGTAGCGAAGCGGTGTGTGAAAACCGTAGTCCATTGGGAGCCGCCGTCCAGTTCATCAGATCATACGCCCTTTGGACAGAGTCAGACGTCCAAGATGCGCAATACACCTCAATACCCGATCGAGCCGGTGACCACTGCCACAATCAATGAAAAAAAGGGATAGTCAACATGACAAGGAAACAGCCAATCAAATCACAGCAAATGGCTGCTATTGTCCAATAGGATTAAAGGGACGCAAATAACCAATCGAAACCCTCAAACAAAACTACATATGTCCGATCTCCTGAGGGCTGGCACCACCCCGAAGTCGCACTGATGATGTTGCCTAGTTTGGCTACGAAACGTTTGCGAACAACACTTTCAGCTCGGAGAA